CAGCTGGTAGTTTAGAACTGCTGACCATGAGATTAGCAGCCCGATTTGTGACCACTACGCTACCAGAGCTCCTTAGGATTCTGTGTAGAGGGAGTGAAAACATGTAATTGAAGCATGGGGAAGAGGTTTTGAGCTTGATGGGGAAGTCTGGGAAGCCATTCACCAAGAGACTCTGTTTAAAGACAGGAGGGTGAATGAAATCGTTAAGGGACTCAGAGAGAAGAAAAATGATGCCCAGAAGTAGAACTCTGAAGAAAGTGTACATCAGTAATCAGGAAGATGAGACAGACCTGGGAAATAGAGGAGGCATTGCTTGAGAATGAGGAGAGAGGATGAGGAGTTCAGTTATAGTGTTGTAGAAACCAAAGACACAGAGAGCTGTTGAGAGGCACATCAGAGTAAACATGCTGTGTTGTCTTTGAAAGATATACATGAACACAAGGGAAAAAAATAGTTCATGTTTGCCTTAATTATATAATTAAACTTTTTTTTTTTTTTTTCCTAAGTCTGGGTTTCATGACACGTCTTTTTTAGGCTAGACTTTTCTTTAAATTGTCTTCACTTAAGGAGCCCTGGTGGTTCTTTGTAAATTAAGCTTTGGGCTGATGATCGAAAGATTGGCAATTCAAACCAAGTGTTCAGAACCATGGAAGAACGATGGAGGCAGTCTGCTCTGTAAAGATTTACTACCTCGGAAACCTTAAGGAACATTTCTACTCGGTCGCATAGGGTTGTTTTAAGATGGAATCAGCTCAAAGGCAGTAGGTTCTGTCTTCATTTGGTTCAGCGACTTCGTATTCATTCTGAAGACAGTTGACAACTTTCACATTTCCTCATGTAAGGGATACAATGGGACAGAAGAATTGGTGAGACATAGGTTTAATGATTACTATTGTAGAAATGTCAGTTAACGTAAAGTTACTCATTTAATTAGGTACTCCCTGGCACTGGGGACACAGCAGTACAGTCCTCAGAACAGAAGAAAACCTCAGCCGGGATTGAGTTTACGTTGTAGTATGGATGAGACAAGCCAAAAGCAGACCACATAAGTATGATAAACCACATGTTATCTGTGACAAGTGCTGTGAAAAAAAAATTTTTTTTTAGATGTAGTAAAGGAAATTTGGGGTGCTGTCATTTTCAACAGGGTCCAGGGAAAGCTTGACTGAGAAAATAATTTTTGAGAAAAGACTTAAAGGAGCGGGGGTGGTGGTGGGGTAGGGGAGAAACTGATGGAAAGCTATTCAAATACCTAAGTGAAGAGCATTCCAGGCACAAGGGACAACAATGTCAGGATTGGGGAAGTATTCCTTGCCTCTTTGAGGGTTGGAAATGGGACCATTGTTGTTCAAGTGGAATAGGCAAGAGAAAGTAGAGTGTGGTCCTGTGATCCTATGAATGGAAACCTTAAGTTATTGTTAAGTGCCATTGAGTCAGTTCCCACTCATGGCGACCTTGTATTGGGTTTCTGCGACTATAGATCTTTGTGGGAGCAGGAAGCCTCACCTTTCTCCCACAGATCAGCTGGTGGGATTGAACCCCTGACCTTGTTGTTCACAGTCTAATGCTATTCTAAAGAGCCACTGCAAAAGAAAATAGGTAAGTATAGTAAGTCAGAGTCTGACCCTGTGGTCATATGGATGGAGTCCCCAGGTGGGTGGTATAAATGGCTAATGTGCTTGGATGCTAACCAAAAGTTTCAAAAGGTGGGCTTGGAGATTACGGAGGCCCCTTGAAAGAAAGATGTAGCCAAAAGGCCTGTTTGAGAAAAATCAGCCATTTAAGCCCCTGTGAGAGAGCACAGTTGTACTCCAACACCCCCAGGGAATCCCCCTGGGTCAGAATCAACTGGTCAGAAGCTGGTGTTGACTTTTAGTGCTGACTGAGAGGGAAAGCTATAAAGGGTAAAAAGGGGCCTCTCTGGAGCAGGCAAAGGGAAAGGAGATCAATAAAGAATGAAATTAGCTTAGACTTGAGTAGTACTAGAGGAGAGGTGGGAAGAGATCAGGATCTGAATGTAGTCTAAGGATAACATGAATAGAATTTAACAGATTGGTTGTGGGGTATGCAAGGGAGCGTTCAGGGATGAGCTAGAGCAACTGGAAGGAAAGTGTTCCCATGAACTGAAATGAGGAAATATGAGGGAGGAGGAGTTTTTTTGGTGGTGGGGAGAGGCCAGCAGAGGTTTAGACATGTTAATTTTGCAGTGCATAATGGACTCTTAAGTAGTGTTATCAAGAAGACAGTTGAAAAATGGGTCTGAAATCTCAGGAAGAAGCTTGGAGGTAAGCTATTGGAAGTCCCCAGCCTGTTGAAGATATTTGAAGCCAGTAACCTAGATGAGAAATCATCAAGAAAGTGAGTTTGGATTAAAAAGGAGAATTCCAAAGACTAGAACTTTAGAGGCCCTTATGTATTGGGACCAAGAACCAAAGCTCACTAAAATGGAAATTATGTGTTCCATGAAAAAGCACTTGTACTTTAATGATGACATTTAAGGGACATTCTAAATGTTTACGAACTGGTGGTGCTTCCCTGTGAAGTATAAGACCATTCAGACAGTGTGTGTTGAATTTTATTGGGTAAATGTTGAAGAAGTTACTGGTGCTGAAATGGAATGTTTTGAATGCCATAAAGAAGTCAAAGGACACTAATAAAAATAATAAAGAGCATTTTGCTCAGGAGAAACAACTTTGGAGAACATTGTTTCAGTCCATGATATAAGAAGTCATTTTCTAGAAAGTCAGTCATGCCACCGTTCTCTGAGCAGCTGAATAGTTTGTTCCTTTATCTATTTTTGGCAATAGTATAGTTTAAACTTTTTAGCTAGTTCAGTTTTTTGGGGTTTTGATGCAACTTTATTGCGTTTTAGCCAGTTTTAAAAACAGTGAAGTCATCACTGTAACATAACCATTTTAACCTCTTGAGACCTGTTCTTTCATTTCCCCCCTCTTTTTGCCTGTTGTTTCCATAGAAACAGAAGGCATGACAGTAAGATGACATGGAACAAATTTTTCCTGAAGGATTCTCAACACTCTAGCCCACATTTCTGGAGCCATTGCACATTCGGCTTCCGCTGCCCCGTTTCTTTGTCTGACTGTGGCCTAGTCATGCTGCAAAACTCAGTCCAGCTGTCATCTTTCAGGAAGTGCTTTCTGATGACATATTCCCACCTTTCCCAATCTGTGTGCTGCCATATTACCCTTTGCCATGGCACTTGTCACAATAGTTTATGTCCCCATTGACTTTGAGGGCAGATACTGGGTTTGTTTCATTTCCTCTGCACCTTGCATAGTACCTAGGGGTCAATATCAGTAAATGTGTATGGACTGTGAATGAAGAAACCAACTTCTGTGCTGATTTGGTACCCATCTGAAATGTCCTTATTACGATTGAAATTATTTTATTCAGAATGTGCCATTAGCTAATGCAGTAACCTGCCACATATCCTGAGATTTCCCTTTCAAAAGTAGTGGAACAGTTTGTTATGTAAAGGGTCACATTTTTCCCTTAAAACAGTTGCCCTGTGAACCCCTCATGTTCATAACCTCTAAGGTATTTTATCAGTGTGATTTTATTTAGTACTGCTTGTATCCCCTAAAACTAGTAAGCAATATGAAGTAATATGAACATGCCTATATAAGATAAGTCCCGGTGTGGTGCTGTGGGTTAATGCGCCAGACTGCAAAGCTGTTTGAACTGCAAGGTTGGCGGTTCAAGCTCACCAGCGTCTCTTTGGAAACCCTGTAAGGGTCGCTGTGGGTTGGAACCAACTCGACAGCACTTAACAACAACAACCACATATAAGATAAAGAAATCCTGGTATGGCACTGTAGGATAAGCACTGGAACACAAGGTTGGTTTGAACTTCAAGGTTAGTGATTCAAACCCACCAGCTGCTCTTTGGAAACCCTATACAGAGTTGCTGTGAGTCAGAATCAACACAACAGCATTTAACAAAACAACATACAAGATAATGGGAGCACAATGGCTCAATATGATAAGCAGTGGACTGCAAAACACAAAATTGGCAGTTTGAGCCCACCAGCTGCACATGAAAAAAAAAAGAAACTTTATGTTCCCCCAAAGATTTACAGTCTCAGCAACCTTACACAGGGTCGCTATGAGTGCAGACTGACTTGATAGAACTTAACAAATGTAAGACAGGGAGCCTTGGTGATGCAGTGTGCTAAGTATTGGGCTGCTAACTGCAAAGTCAAGGTTCAAGCCCACCAGGCGCACTGTGGAGAAAGAAGAAGCTCTCTGCTCCTGTACAGATTTATAGTCTCAGAAACATTGCAGTCCCATTCTACTTTGTCTTACAGGATTGCTACGAGTCAGAATCAACTCTATGGCAGTGGGTATATAAGGTAGCATGAAAAAAGCTTCAGGAGCTTGGTGGATACAATTGCCAGCAGCAGACGCAATTTTCTTTCTTTTTTTTTTTTTTTTTAAGTTAGTGCATGATTTGAAAACAAGATTTTTATATGGACATAATAGAAATGAAAGGGGTTCAAAAAGTTTGTGGAGAAATTCAATTATCTTTTAATTTCCATTTCTCCACAGGCTTCTTAAAGCCCCCTTGTAAATACTCGAATCTGGGTGCAGAGCAGTGACAAGTATTCTGGATGCCAGAAAAAAAAGATGGCAAATACTTGCATGATGATGGGGTGGGGTTCAACATCTTACTCTCCACTGTCCACCTAGAATTGCAGGGTGGTTTTTTGTTGTTGTTTGTTTTGTGAACTCTCTCAAAAGCAGGAGAAAGAAAACAAAAGCTATATGAGATTATTTAGTATTTCTCAATACCGAGGAAAAAGCTTTACTGTACAGAATTATTGATAGCATAAGTCCACTAGCAGATGATATGTGTCTAGTGAATACTTAACTGAATTCTTATCTGGAGCCCTGATTATATTGAGAATTTTTGAGCTATGCTTTAGAGTGTATAAATTGTGGCATTGCAGTGTAATTATTTAAATCTTGATTTCTTCTTCCAGTTCTACTTTACGAAGTGTTTCTACTGGATCCTCAAGACCTTCCAAAATATGTTTGGTGTGTGGAGATGAGGCTTCAGGATGTCACTATGGGGTAGTAACCTGTGGCAGCTGCAAAGTTTTCTTCAAAAGAGCTGTGGAAGGTAAATGTTCATGTGGGTGTTCCTTTTACACATTTCTTTCCACTGTGTAGTTTATGTGCACAGTTAACTCTATAGTGTTACTGGGAATTTCTTCAAAAATACTGTTGGTATAATCTGTCAGTGATAAATAGTAATAATGCCTGTCTATAAACCACACAGAGCTGAGCACTAGTTAATGGAAAACCTTTGAAATGGTGAGCTTAGATCAACCAGTCAACTTTTTCTTTTCTTTTTGTTTGGTTTTCAATGAGACGTATATATATATACATACATACATACATACATATATTTGTTTCATCTCAAATTTAATGTGCATGATCTGGAATAGTATTTTTACTATATACATATATTTGTTTCATCTCAAATTTAATGTGCATGATCTGGAATAGTATTTTTACTAAGCATACACTGGATACATCATCTCTGCCTTTTCTTTGCCTCTGGATATACATATATGTGTGTTTTGTAGGAAATTTAAACATTACCAACAGGATTATATATATATATATATACTATATGTGAATACATATATAATCATATAGAATAATTTTATTTAACAATGCAAAAGTATGCCACCAACCATTCCTTCCAGAGTACTCTCTACTCAGCTGGGTTCAATCATTCTTTGTAATGGCCACGTAGAACTCAGACACCACAGTCGACCCTTGGTCTTGTTTTGACTGATGATACTGAGCTTTTCCAACATCTCTTCCTAAAGGTGTAGTCAGTTTTTGAGTCCTGTGGATTCCATCTGGTGAGGTCCTCACATATTAAGATGTTAAAAAAGGTTTTTGAATGAACCACTGGTCTTCACAATTCAGTCATGTGACCTTCAGCACCATTTCTATCACCAAGGCCATATTTTCCAGCTACACATCCCGCCTTACTCTTTGTTTCATACTTTTGCATTGCAGTCGCCATTAATTATCAATGCATCTTGCTTACATGTTTGATTAATTTCACAATGAAGAAGTTGATGGAATTCAATTTCTTCCTTACTGGCTTTGGTAGTTGCTGCATAAATTTGAATAATAGTTGTATTCACTGGTCATCCTTGTGGTGGTAGTTGGTTACGTGCTGTGGCATCGGTTCAGACTCATAGCGACCCTGTACAGTGTTTCTGAGGCTGTAAATCTTTCCAGGAGCAGAAAGCCTCATCTTTCTCCTGTAAAACAGCTGGTGGTTTCAAACTGCTGACCTTAATGTTCACAGCCTGATTTGTAACTGCTATGCCAAGGAACTCTGGTGTAGCGTAGTGGTTACGAATCGGGCTGTGAGCTATAAGGTCAGCAGTTCGAAACTACCAGCTGCTCCACGGGAGAAAGATGAGGCGTTCTGCTCCCATAAAGATTTCCAGCCTTGGAAACCCTGTACAGGGTCGCTATGAGTCAGAACTGACTCCACGGCACTTAATAACAACAACAACAACATGCTAAGGAACTCTGGTGTTCCTTGTAGGCATATGGATATTATCCTAACACAGATAGCCTTGTACTTCCAGATCGATCTTAAAATGCTCTTTTTGAGGTGGAGTGTATCATCATTTTTTTCAGTTTGTCATTTCTGTGCATAGTAAACCATATGAATGTCTGATTCACAATGAAGAATACCTGCCCATTTCAGCTCACTAGTGCCTAGCATATCAATATGTGAGTGTTTCATATCATTTTTGATAACTTTCAATTTTCAAAGATTGGTACTTCATACATTCCATGTTTTACTTATTAATGGATGCTTGCAGCTATTTTATCTACCAGCACTATAGCTGACAATGCTGCACTGCTATTCATGAGATTTTTAAGTGGCTAACATTCTTATCAATGGAGAAAAGATTGAAGTTGTCAGGAACTTCATTCTTCTTGGATCAACCATCAATAATTATGGAAGCAGTAGTCAAGAAATCAAATGATGTAGAGCATTAGGCAAATCTGCTGCACCAAGACCTTTTTAAAGTGTTGAAGAACAAAAATGTCAGCTTGAAGACTAAGGTACACCTGACCCAAGCCATGGTATTTTCAAGAACCTCATATGCATGTGGAAGCTGGACAATGAATAAGGAAGACTGTAGAAGAATTGATGCTTTTGAGTTATGGTGTTGGAGGAGAATATTGAAAGTGCTATGGGCTGCCAAAAGAACCAATAGATCTGTGTTGGAGGAAGTGCAGCCACAGTGCTCCTTGGAGGCCAGGTTGGCCAAACTTGGTCTCTCATACTTTGAACATATTGTCAGGAAGGACCAGTTGCTGGAGAAGGATATCATGTTTGATAAGGTGGAGGGTCAGAGAAAAAGAGGACGACCCCCAGCGAGATGGATTTGAAAAGTGGCAGCATCAGTGGGCTCAAGCATGGCAACAATAATGAGGCTGGCCCAGGATTGGGCAGTATTTCGTTCTCTTGTGCATAGGGTTGCTGTGAATCAGTATTGACTCGATGGCACCTAACAACAACAACCATCATTCAAAAGTTGTCCACCTCTCCTTTTTCTTAGCGTGTCTTAGTCTGGAAGCTTTGCTGAAACCTGTCCACCATATGTGACCCTGCTGTTATTTAAAATACATCCATGGCATAGCTCCTTGTATCACAGCAACACAAAAGCTACCACAATATAACAGATAAATGAGTGGTGATGAACTGATAGAAAACCTAGCTTCCCCAATTAAGTGCCTATAGACATCTCACTCTGCAAGCAGGTTTCCTGCCCAAAGTCACTCAGCTTTACTTGCTCCATAGACTGGGAAGTCCACTGCTCTGTCTCGTGCTATTGCTCTTGGTTTTGCTGCTATTGCTGCCGCTGCTTCTCTACCACTCCTCTTTTTTTTTTCTTTTTTTAAGTTTTTATTGTGAATTGAGTTATAGTTTACATGGGAGAACATTGGTTTTACACCTTTGTTTCTTGACAATGATTATAATCTGTTCAGTGCATCATCATTCAACAGTATTTGCCTCTATTCCCTCTTTTTTTTGCGGGGAGAGGGGTTGGATATACACAAAAACGTTCAGGAATGTATAATAATTTACACCACTAAAGGGTACATTCGGCAAGTCTGCCTCCTGGCCACCAGCTCTCAGTCCCTGTCTTCCCATGAATCTGGAATTCTCAGCTGCGCCCTCTCTCCATGTCCCCATCACTGCTTCTATCTCTGGTGTCCCTGCTTCTCTGGATAGGGTTCCGCATTCCACTCATGTTCTTCTCCCTTGACAGTCCTAGGGTCCTCTATTTCTGGACTGTAAGATTTAACTACTCCTCCTGTTTATATTACAAAACTCTACCTTTACAGTGTGACAGCCGCAATTAGTCATGATGACAGTTACTCACTATTGAATCCTAAGAATTTTATTCCCATCTCTTTTCTCCAGTACTGTCTAGAAGATGAAAACTATTCAGTGAGGACTATAAATCCCCCCACACACTCTTAAACTAAACTCCCTTTGAAACCTTGTAAGCCAGTCACTTCATGCTTTTCTCTCCCCCTCATTTTAGGTATTTGCTACTCCTCTCATGTCACATCTTTCTGTCTCTGAGTCAAGGAGTTTCAGTACTCTAAATTCTTGGCCTCCAAAGGACTTACTCATCTCCTGGCTCTTCTTTTGATGGTAGTGAGATCCCCATTTCTGCTTCTGAGATGGCTCATTTTAAGCCCAGCAGTATGGTAGCCTCATTAGAATTTCAAGTGTTAATAATCACAATCCTTTTAGCAGTCACTCACAAGTGAATCACAGAATCCTTCAGCATCTTCCCTCACCTTCCCTTACACAGACACATCAGAAATATGTCATTTGGTAGGTGGTTTACAAAGACGATGACTAGAAGAGACATTACGTAATTCACTACACTGCAAAAATCTACTTCAGATCCCTATATTCCTACTGTAGTGTTCTAAGAGTACATTAAATGAAAACTTAGTACATTTAAGCTAGTTTTTATTTCTGTCCAAGTAACTGTACTTCTTAAGGAGAAATAATCTTTTAGTTTGATTTTGCCTTTCTCCACCCCCACTTATAGCAATTAATTAACAGGAGACTTAGGCCAGATGGTTTTATTGATGTTGTGAATACTATGACTGGTGAAAATGTAGGATTTTTGCTATTAGTAGAAGTATTATTGTGTAATGTCACTTATTTTCACTAAGAAGCTTAATATTAAGACTACTTAAGGATTCTTTCTCAGAAAAGTTTACTGAGCATAGAATTGGTGCTTGAATGTTTCATTTATGTTTTCTGGAGATCTTGAGATTGTATCCATAGTTCTGGAGTCCTGGTGTGATGCTGTGGGTTAATGTGCCAGAATGCAAAGCTATTTTAACTGCAAGATCGATAGTTCAAGCTCATCTGCTTCTCCTTAGAAAACCTATACAGGGTCTCTATGGGTCGGAATTGACTTGACAACAATAACAACATAGTTCTGGGATTAAAAAAACTAAATATTCTAATACTTCTGTGACTGATTTTACATTATTTAACTGAAATCATTAATTTTTATATTGTTCACACTATTAATTATTTTAAATTATTTAAGAGTCCCCAAAACCAATAAACAGCATTCTTATCAATGGAGAAAAGATTGAAGTTGTCAAGGACTTCATTCTTCTTGGACCAACTATCAACACTCATGGAAGCAGCAGTCAAGAAATCAAATGACCTATTGCATTAGGCAAATCTGCTGCACAGGAACTTTTTAAAGTGTTGAAGAGCAGAGATGTCAGCTTAAGGACTAAGGTGCGCCTGACCCAAGCCATGGTATTGTCAGTCACCTCATATGCATGCGAAAGCTGGACATTGAATCAGGAAGACCATAGGAGAATTGATGCTTTTGAGTTATGATGTTGGAGGAGAATATTGAAAGTACCATGGACAGCCAAAAGAACCAACAAATCTGTGTTGGAAGAAGTGCAGCCAGAGTGCTCCTTGGAGGCCAGGATGGCCAAACTTCATCTCATACTTTGGACATACTGTCAAAGAGGGACCAGTTGCTGGAGAAGGATATCATGTTTGGTAAGGTG